TTATTATTATTTGGTATCCTGGTCTATTATTATTTTGGGTTTGTTTTTTCTGATGTTACTTTAGATAACTTTATCTAATGTTCATCAAAACGACGTCGTTTTGGGACGGAAATCATGGTATTTTTGTAATTTTAATTTATTTTAGGGTTATAATAGTTTTTATCACTCTAATTTTTTAATTTTTCAACCCAAAACGACGTCGTTTCGATGAACATTAGATAAAGTTATTTAAAGTAACATCGGAAACTTTTTTCCCTATTATATTTTATTTAGAAAATCATCATACATGTGATTGACAAACTTACACAAGTAATAAAAGAGAGTGCAAAGGTATAATGTACTGCTCTTACAAAATTCAATTTCGATTAGATAATATTTTGAAAGTAATTTTATAATTTTGAATCATAGAAGAATTTAAATTTAATTGAATTATTCTCATCCATATTAAAATTTGCTTTCAGCGAGAAATTTCCTGTTTTTAAAATTCTACAAAAGTAAGATGGTGTAAAAACTACACTTTTTATTTTTCTTTTCACTTATAATGATCTGAATTTAAATGATTTGTATGTCAATTTAATACCATTTTATTAATTTTATGTATTGAATAATTAATTAAAAAGAAATAAATAATAAAAATATTTTGAGATACAAAAATAGAGAAAGAAAACTATAAAAAAAACTAGTTGGCTGTCTATTAGTATTTAATAAAAATTATTTTTTTTGGTAGGACAGGTTGACCAACAAGCAACGCAAATTAACGTATTTTGACTATTTTTACATTTTGCGGCCACATTTTCACGCTACTCCCCGTAAAAATAAGATGATTATTAGGTTTTTTTTAAAAAATATTTTGATTTTATATACTCTGTTAATGGAAGCAAGGCGTTATTTGAATTTTTTTTGTTTTTAAAATTATTTTGTAGAAATAATTATGGAAACATATATTTTTTATATTTTTTTATTTTAAAAGTTAATAGTCAAAATACAAAATAAAAATAATTCAGACATATTTTTTAAATTTGATTTAAAATTTTTTACAAAACAGACCTTGTCAAAGAAGTTATTTTATTTTTTTATTGTGAAAACTAAAAAGTTATTTTAAAAAACAATACTCTAACAAGGAAAATAAAAACTACTCAACCAACCAAGAAATTCACACCAAAGGAAAAAAAAAAAAAAAAAAAAACAAAGAAAACTTACCGGTCACCACTAATTAGCTGCACCCTTTTCAAAAATTAGGACCCGAAAATAGTAGTTTGAACATGTTTTATTACGACACCTTTATTTTCATAAACAAAGAAACTGTTCTCAGCTCCAAAAGAAAAAAAGAAAAAAAAAATCTTACGGTAACAACTTTCCAAACTACTATACTCAAAAAAAAGTTCTGTAAAAATGAAGGAAGAAATTTTATGACAATTAAAAGCAATGTTATTAAAACTGGCTCGGTTATTGACCCGGTCGAGGTACTGGGTCACTGGTTCAACCAGTGAGTTACGGGTTCAACTGCATGACCCGATAATTATATGCAATTTTATAATTTTAATTAAAAAATTATAAACACACTCAAAAATCTAAGCAAAAATGACAAAAAATTCAAATATTTTAATATAAAAAAGAATAAATCACATATTATTATACAATAAAGGATCAAACAAAGATATAATGATCGTGATACTGGGCTTTAGGTTTAGAAAATGACATCTCTAACTATAAATCAAATCGAAATTTTCTGCATAGTGCATAATTAAGATAATATTAGTGTTGTAGGTATGTAGCTTAGGTAAGTTAATAAGAAATAAATATATTTAAATATGTTCATTATGATTTTATTTTTTAAAAAAAAATTGGAATTTTTTTGGGACCGGGTCGGATCACCGGTTAACCGACCAGGTCACCGATTTTCATGAAAACCGGCCGGGTCGGACCGGGTCGCACCGGTTCTGATACATGGCCGGTCCGTTGCTTGAACCGGACTGGTTATATGACCGGTTTACCGGTTCACGGGTCGATTCGGCCGGATCGGTTCGGTTTTAATAACATTGATTAAAAAGACTTGTTTTTTTTTTTTTAGTTAAAAATATGATTAAATGGACTCATTTAAATGCAAGTTACAATTAACTTATTTTAGAATTATTTTTTATTTCAATCCATTTATCAAAAAGCTTTTATCTATCGCCAGTTAACAAAAAAAAAAAAAAAAATTTCAAATTCAAATAACGAAGGAAATTAAAAAAAAAAACTGATTACTAGGGTGTAGAGAATTAAAATTACTTAGGGCAAGCTCCACGTGGAAACCATACAGAGGACCACCGAACGTCCCCATACGTTTTCTTTCTAGTTTCTAACAACCAAAAAACGACGACATCATTAAATCACAACCTTTTCTTAACTTTTGTAAATAAAATGAAATAATCCAATATTTGCTTAAAAATAAAAAAAATGTCTGTTCTCGAGATTATTAAATATTTAATTTGAAATACCCAATCCTCTTAAGGCTATATGTCTCTTTTGTCCCTCATTAATTAATTAATAATCGTTTTGTCCCTTATCCAGAACTATCTACCAACCTGCCTCTCTTTAATCGATTAACTTGAAGATTTAATCGATTAAATGGTCAAAACTGAAAAAATAGTTGACTTGAAGATTTCATCGATCAAATCTTCAAGTTAATCGATTAAATTTCCCTTTTAATTTATTTAATCGATTAAATATCCCAAATTAGGGTGAAAGAATTGATACCAACTCGTAAAATGGCAACTCTTAATAAAACACAATCAGCTCTTATTAAATACAAAACACAATCAACTCTTATTATTAAATACAAAACACAATCAGCTCCTATTAAATACAAAACGCAATCAGCTCCTATTAAATACAAAACACAATTAGCTCCTATTAAATACAAATCGCAATCACCTCCTATTAAATTAAATTCAAAATTCAAATAACATCCAATACATGGAAAACTGATTGAAGATTCTGCTAAGTATTACATTAAATTCAAGATTCGCAATCAACTCTTTTTGTTTATGGAGGAGATTTGACCTTTGTTGCCTGTTGCGATTTGATATGAGCTGATTGCATTTTGTATTTAATTGGAGCTGATTGCGTTTTGTATTTAATAGGAGCTGATTGAAATTTGTATTTAATAATATGAGTTGATTGTGTTTTGTATTTAATAAGAATTGATTGCGTTTTATCAAGAGTTGCCATTTTACGCGTTGGTATCAATGCTTTCACACTAATTTGGGATATTTAATCGATTAAATATAAGTTTTAATCGATTAAATAAATTAAGAGGGAGATTTAATCGATTAACTTGAAGATTTAATCGATTAAATCTTCAAGTCAACCTTTTTTTCCTTCAGTTTTGACCATTTAATCGAATAAATCTTCAAGGTAATCGATTAACGAAGGGTAGATTGGTAAATAATTATTAATTAATTAATAAGGGACAAAAAAGTCAAAAAACCATCCTCTTAAGGAAAAATAATTAAGTGATCCAGGCCCATTTTATTATTTGGTAGTCTCTCTCACATGAGTAAATTTTTTCTTTCATTTTTGCCCCTCTCATTTTTTTCTTTTCCTATTTTGCCCCCTTATTTTATGAGAAACAGCACCCTAAATTTTATGGGCCGTACATTTCTTCTCCCTCAAAAAGCTCAGTGAGCTACTCTTTAAATAACATTAGGGAACAGTTAAAATTTAAGTTAGTTGATTCCGTTTCGTGCAGGAAAAATTAAAAAAATGAAATAAAATGAAATAATCCAATATTTGCTTAAAAAAATAAAAAAAATGTCTGTTCTCGATATTATTAAATATTTAATTTGAAATAACCAATCCTCTTAAGGTTATATGTACCTTTTGTCCCTTATTAATTAGTTAATAATTATTTTGTCCCTTACTCAGAATTATCTACCAATCTGCCCCTCTTTAAACGATTAACTTGAAGATTTAATCGATTAAATGGTCAAAACTAGAAAAAAGGTTGACTTGAAGATTTAATCGATCAAATCTTCAAGTTAATCGATTAAATCTCCCTCTTAATTTATTTAATCGATTAAAACTTATATTTAATCGATTAAATATCCCAAATTAGCGTGAAAGCATTGATGCCAACTCGTAAAATGGCAACTCTTAATAAAACACAATCAGCTCTTATTAAATACAAAACACAATCAACTCTTATTATTAAATATAAAACACAATCAGCTCCTATTAAATACAAAACGCAATCAGCTCCTGCTAAATATAAAACACAATCAGCTCCTATTAAATACAAATCGCAATCAACTCTTATTAAATTAAATTCAAAATTCAAAATTCAAAATTCAAATAACATCCAATACATGGAAAACTGATTGAAGATTCTGCTAAGTATTAAATTAAATTCAAGATTCGCAATCAACTCCTTTTGTTTATGGAGGAGATTTGACCTTTGTTGCCTGTTGCGATTTGATAGGAGCTGATTGCATTTTGTATTTAATTGGAGCTGATTGCGTTTTGTATTCAATAGGAGTTGATTGCGTTTTGTATTTAATAATATGAGTTGATTGTGTTTTGTATTTAATAAGAATTGATTGCGTTTTATCAAGAGTTGCCATTTTACGAGAAACAGCACCTAAATTTTATGGGCCGTACATTTCTTCTCCCTCAAAAAGCTCAGTGAGCTACTCTTTAAATAACACTAGGGAACAGTTAAAATTTAAGTTAGTTGATTTCGTTTGGTGCAGCAAAAAAAGCGAACTCTCGTCGTTTCCTGATCATCATTTTCTACGTATCTCTCTCTGTGTCTGTGTCTGTGTCTGTGTCTTTCTCTTTTTCTTCTTACTCAATCCATTCTTAAATTAAAACACTCTCCAATGATCAACAACTAACCCAACCTTAATTCTCGCTAAGACCCTTTTTTCATTTCCACGTAAAGACCCCATCTTTCCAATCTGCTTCTTCCAGAACTTGAACCAGAATAACACTCACATTCACACAGATTCCATTTCTAAATGGGTGTGTGCACTTCAAAACCTCGTGCAAACCCCACACTCTCTTCTCCAAATTCCGTTACACACACAGAAACCACTTCTAACGCTAAGCCTCGTTCCAATGGAGAAAACCCTACCCTTACCCACATCAACAGCGTTAAAAAATCTCCCCTTTTCCCATTTTGCAGTCCCAGCCCTGCCCACCATTTGGTCCCCAGCAAGTCACCGGCAGCGAGCACGCCGCGGCGGTTCTTCAAGCCTCCGTCGCCGGCGAAGCTCATAAGGGCGGTGCTGGCTCGCCGCCACGGTTCCGTGAAGCCGAACGAGGACACAATACCGGAAGGTAGCAAAGCTGAGGTGGTTGCTTTGGATAAAAATTTTGGGTTCAAAAAGCATTTTGAGAACGAGTTTGAGCTTGGGAAAGAGGTTGGGAGAGGGCATTTTGGGTACACTTGTGCTGCCAAGTTCATCGAGGGTAACCTTAAAGGCCAACAGGTCGCTGTTAAGGTCATCCCAAAAGCCAAGGTTAGTTTTTTTTTTTTAAATTAATTTGATTTATGTTATGATGGATTTTAATTCATGTGTTTTGATTGTAGATGACAAATGCTATTGCTATTGAGGATGTGAGAGGGGAAGTGAAAATATTGAGAGCTTTAACTGGACATAAGAATCTAGTACAATTCTACGATGCATTTGAAGACCATGATAACGTCTATATAGTAATGGAGTACGCTTCTATTGCTTGTTGTGCTTATTTAACTTAAGTGATATTTTTGTTCATCTTTTTGTGACCGTTTGATTTTTCATTGTCAAGAATCTTTGTCTTGTTCTTTTTTTGGTTATTAAACTCGTTTGTACTGAACCGTTATGCATCTCAGGTTGTGTGAAGGAGGGGAGCTTTTGGACAGAATAATATCAAGGTGTTTGTTCATTTATTTTCTAAATATTCTTTCTTTTGAATCTGCAATATTTGTTTATCTAAATGATTTTAAGAGGAAACGTATGATGATTTATGGCTGTGAGATATCTGTTTCCTCTTGCAGAGGGGGGAAATACTCAGAGGAAGATGCAAAAGCTGTCTTGACGCAAATACTGAATGTTGTTGCATTTTGCCACCTACAGGGTGTTGTGCATCGCGATCTTAAACCTGAGGTGAAGTGTATTTGCAATTTCTTTTTCTGCATAATAAGACTGAGACACCCCCCACCCCGGGCAGAAAAAAAGGGAAAGAAAACGGAAAAATTGGGGTCAGTAAGCAAAATAAATTTTCTGTTTTGTAAAACAAAAATGAGGGTAACATAAAGATATTTTGTCACCTGTTAAGATTGTCTTTCATAACCTATTTAGTTAAATGGTTGTGGTTTTGTTTGGTTTGGTTCATGGGTCTTGTTCTTATAATTCTTTTCAAGTATTAACTTCTAAGGATGTGTAATTTCTTGATCAGAACTTCTTGTTCACATCCAAAGACGAGAACTCAGAGCTGAAGGTCATAGATTTTGGCTTGTCTGATTTTGTTAAACCGGGTATGTTTTGAGTCCTTTTATGTGTGCTGCATGTTTTGTTTGGGTTCAGATTATGTTTTGACTTTTCATTGTGTTTTACAGATGAAAGGCTTATTGATATTGCTGGTAGTGCATACTATGTGGCTCCTGAAGTTCTGCTTAGAGCTTACAGTACAGAGGCTGACGTATGGAGTATTGGTGTGATTGCATATATATTATTATGTGGCCGTCGTCCATTTTGGGCACGGACTGAATCTGGGATATTTCGTGCTGTATTGAAAGCTGATCCAATTTTTTATGAACCTCCTTGGCCTTCTCTGTCAGACGAGGCCAAGGATTTTGTTAAGCGATTACTGAATAAAGATCCAAGGAAAAGAATGACTGCAGCACAGGCATTAGGTGATCTCATCTATCATTGAGGGTCTTGGTTTCTCTTATATTCTATATTGTGTTACTTACAGTTATATACTGCAGGTCATCCATGGATTAAAAATTATAAGGATGTAAAAGTACCCCTGGATATTCTAGTGTTCAATCTCATGAAGGCATACATGCATTCCTCCTCTCTACGAAAAGCAGCTTTAAAGGTGTGTATATTTATTCAGAACATGCTTAAAAATCTCAATATTGAATGGAAAGGATCCTTTTCTGAAAAATTTATATTTTTAGTATCATCCGTTTTGATTTTTACTACTGGAACTGTACTCTCAATTGGTTTCACACTTTAATAGGTGGACTACTTATGCTAGAGTTTACTTTACAGAATGTTTGAAATCAGACTGAGTTGATTGTTGCATGAATTATGTTAGTAACAAACCAGTCGACTTTTGTTTAGTGTTTCCAACTGAATGGACTCAAATTTAGTGTAATGAAATGCTGTTTTGGAATGGTAAAAGAACTTTTCATATACATTGTCTCACTTTAGAACCGTTACTAGAGCATTGTATTTCAAGTGCTTTTTTCTCTAATTTTGTTTGCTCTTGTTCCCCATTCCTTTTGTTGATCACACTACATGTATGTTTCCCAGTAACTTACTAGCATTTTATTTCATGGGCATTGGGACAGGCTCTGTCTAAGACGTTGACTATTGATGAGCTTCATTATTTGAAGGAGCAGTTTACACTTTTAGAGCCAAACAAAAATGGCACTATTAGTTTGGAAAATATCAAAGTGGTTGGTTTCTTTCCAACTCTTTTTATATACTATATTAAGAGGATGATGTTCGAAATCTCATAAATTTGAGTTGGCCAGGCCTTGATGAAGAATGCAACGGATGCTATGAAGGAGTCACGCATTCCAGATTTACTGGCTTCAGTAAGTGCTTTGATTTAACTATAGATTTCCTCTGTACGCGATTCAAATGATATTTTGTGGTGCATATACTGGTCATTAATACCGATGGTTTTGGATGGCAGCTTAATGCATTGCAATATAGAAGGATGGATTTTGATGAGTTTTGTGCAGCTGCACTTAGTGTTCATCAACTTGAAGCACTTGTACGGTGGGAGCAACATGCACGCTGTGCCTATGAACTTTTTGAAAAGGATGGAAACAGGGCAATAGTCATTGAGGAATTAGCTTCGGTAAGCTTGATAATGATTCGACGATAGTTTATACATGCATGCCTTTGGAATTCTTTATACTGATAATTGTGTCAGCTATTTTTTAAAAAATGAACATATCTAACAATTTACAACTTTTGTGGATTACAACTTCCAGCAGCCCAGTAATCTATTAAATTGATAAAACATAAATTTCAACATTGGAGTGGTGATATTGCAAGAAACTATTTTCACTTCATGTAAAGTTTATGGTTCTGTGTTGGTTTTTAGCAGTTATGTAATATTCTAGTTTGGTTTGTTAACTAAATAATCAGGATCTTGGCCTTGGTCCATCTGTCCCTGTTCATGCTGTTCTTCATGATTGGATTAGGCACACCGATGGAAAGTTAAGCTTCCTTGGATTTGTTAAATTGTTGCATGGTCCATCTCGAAGTCTTGTATAGCCTCAGTAGAAAGTTTGGAAGATAAGTACACCCAAGTGTGCTCAGTTATACTATGATGATCTAGCTAATAAAATGTTGGTCAACACATCACAATCCTATCATCAAGGGATCTTTGCCACTCAGCATAATATAAGGCTGAAGCTCTTTTACAATTGGAGCAGGAATCAAAACTGCTCCCACAGGCATTTATATTTTCCACTTAGCAGTAGTATGTTACATTTCAGGTGCTAATTTTTTGTGGTTATTAGATGGTTACTCTTCATATGCTCTAACATGTTCTGAGATTCACAATTGTGGATTATCATTCTTGTCCAAATGCAGATTCATTGCATTGCATCCCAGAGTTGAATTAAAGAAATTTTTAGTGCTCTAGTTTTCAACGTTGTTGTAGCTTTTGAGAATTTGGTTTTCTTGGATGTTTTTCTCACCATTTAATGGTGCTAACCACGGTGGTAGTTGCAAATATGTTGACGAGCAGAAACAGCACATGTGAAGTACTTTATAACCTCTGTTGACTCCTGAACTGAAATCGAGGGCTGAATTGTATAGTTATTGCTAACAATAGCTGGGATCTTACATAAATCTGGACAAACGAAATGGGAATCACACTCACTCACACCAAGCCATATTAAAACTTAATATGAGAAGGGTCTCTAATCAAACTTCGATAAAATAATAATAATAAAAGAAAAAGAAAATTGAATGTTCTGTGAACTTTGCGGCATGTATAATATGGCTTCGGATGTAATTCTCTTTTTTTTAATATATATATATAAGATAATTAGTGTCAGCGAAATTTGTAATATAATATCGTTGTACCTATATTTGCGCAATAAAAATATAATAGCTATATGGAAAAAATGTTTCTGCAGTTAATGCAGATAAATTATTTGCATTTATTCTCAAAACGATGTCGTTTTGATATTGAAATCTTAAAAAATTATAAATATTATAATCCTGAAATAAATTAAAATTACAAAAATATCATGATTTTCGTCCCAAAATGACGTCGTATTGGGCTCACTATAGATAATTTATATGCAGTAACTGCAGAAAAAGCGAATCCTACTTATATTGATATGTTTTCTCAAGAGAGAGAAAAAAAACTTTATTTATATATTCCTTGAAATATAAAATTTATAATTTTATTTTGAATGAAAGTTGTATCAAGTATTTAGTACGACAGTAATACTAAAGATATTTTGGGATGAAGCCTCTTAAATTACTAGTATGAAAATCGGCCTCAAAATTGTTGACTGGTTTAACGTACCAGTGACTGGACTGGTCAACAAGGTTCGAACTCAAAACCTGTGCTTTGGGCAGGGTAACAGCACTCCACCATGACTCCACTGGTCATTCCCACTTAATTTCACATGCGGATTGGACTTTAGGCTTGTAAAATATGCATATAACCACTTCACACATTATGTCAAAAAGAAGTTTTGATTTGATTTTCACGTGTCATCTTTAGGAGGGGTTTAAATATCTTTATCCATGACCTGTTCCGCATTCCAGATTAGTCTTATAACCGACTCAAAGAGTCGTAAGTTGTGGGAATACCGGGGGAAGTCAACTCGCCTCAAAAAATAAGTAAAGTTGGGTTAACTTTGAAAAAAAAAACACATTATGCCAAAAAGACCTTTTGTTAAAAAAATGGTTAACTGCTAATATAATTCACATGTAAGTTGCACATTACAAACCAAAAAGGGTGGGGGGAAAACATTAACAAAGAAGTCTTTTAAATCCCTTCCCTTTTGAAGAACACTATTAGGAACCCCTCTCTTAAGAGTTACGAGGATGAGTTTTCCAACAATTGGACAACAACTGAGAGTTCTTTTCAAAAAGGAAATAGAACTTACCTGCAAAATATTGAGCATAATTCCTATGAAACGATGGGTTGTCAGGATTTTCCTCCACCATTCTCTTGTAATATTCTTCCACTCTAGGCCTCTTTCCCATCATCCTCACTAGAGCCCATTGAATTATAATCACCATCTCCTCTACCAGACTACCACTACATCTGCAATCACCTATGCCATCAACACCAAGGCCCCTTTTGCAAAGTACATCTCTTTACCACCCACCTCTTCCTGGTCAGCAAAGCCCATTCTGCAAACTCCATCTTACACTCTCAACTCTATATTCTCCAAAATACAAACTAAACCCATCATCATTTCCTGCCATGGCTCTCTCGTCAATTCTAACATTTCATGTTCCTTTCTCTTCCTCCAACTCTTCTCCTTTTTTCTCCATCCTCAATGTGACTTTCCACTTCTTCACCTTTGTAATCATAAAATGAGAAAGATGGTATTGTCTACAACATCAAGTATTTGAGTCTAGACAAAAATCACTTTCATCTTGATCTCTTAGAAATATTTTTTTTTGTTCATTTAATTTTATTGTGTTACGTGGAACTCACATGTGAATTATGTCAATAAACAGTTTCATTAACTGAAGGTCGTTTTGGCACAAAGTGAAAAGGTTAAGAAGTTATACACACATTTATTTATTATTTATTTTTAACTGAGATTGAAATTCATTAATTAAAATGAAAAGAGACATAACTCCAAATACAATAGATGGATAGTAAACCAAGGTCACTTCCAAACAAGGGAAAGACTATGTTAAATTGTTACAAACTATCCTTAAGAGTGACTATAAATTAAGTCTGGCCATTTTTAACAGCTAAAGATTTGGTTATTTCTACACTTCCAAATAACCAAAGTATGAAAGTCACCCATTTAAGACTATTTAGGAAATTAGCAAGAGTACCAGGATGACTCTTCAATTCAGACCATGGCAATGTTTGCCACTCGGATTGTCTCCTTCATATAGAATTTCCATGGCGACTTTGTAACATGAATCACAATATAATAACCCGAAGAATGAATGTTGAGATATATAGTCCCACATTAGTTGTGTGAGCAACTAATGTGGAGTTTATAAGGCCTTGGGCACTCCCACCCTTTGAGCTAGCTTTTGGGGTGGTGTATCCCAAGGTTCTTTACATGGTATCAGAGCCTCGCCGTCATCCACTTTCTCTTGTGGAGTTTCTTAGCACAGGTAGGCTGGGCCTGTTGTATTGTCCACTCTTCAAGCCCAATGAGCTCTTGTGTGAGGGGGCGTGTTGAGATATATAGTTCCACATTAGCAACTAATGTGGAGTTTATAATGCCATGTGAACTTGTTCATATTCTTTAACGTCCATCCTTAGTAATATAGGTTTAGCTTCTGAATTTTATAACAATATTTCTGGAAGACGGAAGCAAGCGATCACATATGTAGGTATGGCCTATATAACTAATTGGATAAAGAGTACTGTACATGCATGGGATTGAAGCTTATTATTAATGGTAGTAGTAAATAAAAAAAATTAAGTGAGATCATAAAACTTCGTTGTTCAACACTTTTAGTATTTCTGAAGACCCTTTTGAATACTGATTTCATAATAAATATTTAGAAATTTTAAATATAATTCTATGCACATTAAATACTTGATGAGCACCATATCAGGTAAAAAATAAATAAATAAGAAATGAATAGCAGGGTAATGCTCAATACTGTGATATGTTTCGCATTTCTATTTAGGAGGAAACATATAATTCTCACTTTTTAAAATATAAGTTCACTAGTGATCATATGTGTGAATGCGGTGAATCTTATTCACTTTTAAGGGGACACACATTGCATAATCTCATTCGAGAATCCCAAAAATATTCTTGCAAAAGGGGTTAGCATGTGGGGTGAGTTTGAGAAGGTTCGGTCTTCAGTGTCCAATCCAATTTAAACAAGTCGGGGAAAACTTTATTTATTGTAAAGATGTGTAGTATGTTACTTTAAGATTTTAAGACCTTGCTAAAATCATTGAGAAAAAAAAAAGACAGAATCCCATTTCAGTCCTCAAACTGATTTTGAAGTGTGACAACTTGTTTCACAAGAGTTGGACAGAATAAGTTCTGCTTGCCACAAATGATTTCGAGCTGACAAAGCAAAAGGCGGTTCAAATTTTATTTTCATAATACACATAGCTCTAAAGGTTGTTAATTGGCAGGTCGACATGTCGAGCTCGCAGCTCAACACTTTGAGATTGGCTTAAAATTATCGGGTTGGCCAAATTGTACCGACAAAGAAAATTGCATAAAAAAGAGATGGAGAGTAAAAACACAGCAAATTTTAACGTAGAAAATATTCCCTAATGCAAAGAAGTAAAAACCACAGGACCTAGTCTATAAAATCTTTCACTATGCATAGTAGAATTACAAAGGATTCAAACTTCCATAGTCTCATTAAAAGTACACTCAAACTTCACCAACAATAGTGGTTACAAAATTCTTATATAAAAAGATCTCACATTCAAACTTCTTTTCGGAGGTTTGTCACTTATGTCACTTAGCTCTCTCTAACCTATTACAAAGGTTTCATATGAAAACTTACACCTTCTTCTATAATTTTTCATCATTAAAGAGATGGGTAGTATTTATTGAGGTAGTTGTTAAGACATTGAGTCACCACCCATAAATGTGATGTATGCTTAGCCACCAAGCATTGAAGGGAGGAACACACCCCAACAAAGGTCTCCCACAAAGAAAGTTCACTTGAATTTATTTTTATATATCTATGCACTACTGGAAAAGTCGTGAATAGCAAGGGAAATTTGCGAGGGAAAAATTCCCTTACAAACTGCGACGGAGTTTGCAAGGGAAAAACAATTGCGAGGGAAAACATGCAAGATTTTCGTTACTACATTGTCGTCGCAGAATCTCTTGCATCGGTCGCAATTCCCTCGCAATTTGCAAGGGAAATTGAATCCCTCGCAAGAATCATAAGTCTGTGATGGAAACAGCGAGGGAAAAAATTGGCGACGGAAGTTCCCTCGCAAAATTTAGGATCTGAAAATGGCAACTGAAATTTCAAAACACAATTAGTTCCTATTAAATCGCAACAGGCAACAAAGGTAAAATCTCCTCCATAAACAAAAGGAGTTGATTGCGAATCTTGAATTTAATGTAATACTTAGCAGAA